TCGCCGGGGGCCAGGGTGTCCAGGGCGGCGCTGGCCGGTCCGCGGGGGCCCAGTTACACAGAGCGGGGCTGGCCGGTCAGCGGGGGCCCAGAGCCAGGGCGATGACTGACAGTGCCGGCGAACGTCCAGAGTCCAGCCAGAGCTATAGAAAGGCGTCTGCTCACTCCTTCTCCTGGTTTGTTTCCGACACGAATGAAGCATGTCACCCCACGCCCTGTGCAAACCCCACACACTGCCGACATGGTAGCATATGCTCCTACTTGGTGATGATCTTTTTTTTTTTTTTTTGAGAGAGATTTTCACTGTAGGGCGCGTGCGCTCGCCAGACAGACAGAAAGAGACATAGAGACAGAAAGCGAGAAATCACCCCCTGGGGGGGATGGCCATGCCGCAATCCCTTCTCCTCCATTCTCCTCTCGGGACCTTGGGCACGCACGCACACGCGCCCGGCGTGAGTTTTAAGCCACCGGGTCCGGGACACAAACCGCAGTCGACTATGTGGGAGTCCAGCGACATAGCCATTACGCTAACTGCTGGTTCCCTGGTGATGATCTTGAAGACGACTGGTGTTGTGTGTCCACCTTACCTTCAAGTCCCAAATGAAAAAATCACTTAAATTTACATGTTTTTCTGTAGCTCTCGGAAAGTACCGCTATGTAACGGACACTCCATGAAGACTTTTGCCATCGAGGGTAGGAATGAAGTCCAGAATCAGGAGACCACCCACTGGGACCTGGGGGACAACGTGGTCACTCTGTGACCAAGTGTGCCGAGGGGCACTTTCTGAGCGTCAGACAGGAGCAGAGCCAGGCCACAGGCAGCAGGAGGATGGGCTCAAAGGTGACCCTTACCCCGAAAATTGGAGGGAGAAAATGATTTTAATGTAAGAATGAGTCCAAATTCACACCTTCCCAATGCTTCAGGAAACCGCTAAGCAACGGCTTAGAGAACATCTACACAGCGACCTGATGCATCTGAAGGAGAGTGGAGCCACAGGCTGCACTGGGCACACAGCTGAGCATGCACGGGCCCACACGCAGGGCCACAGCGGACAGGCCAAAGCTAACGAGCCCCGGTTCTGTCGCACACGGCCACTGCGAGTGAGCCCGTGAGACCCAGCAGGGCTGACTCTGGGGCAGACAATCCAGCAACAGTGTGAGCAGGAACCTGGCGACCGTGCAGACCAGCCACCCTGACGGAGGCCACGCAGGTCTGAGCTGCATCAACAACCAGGAGCGCAGCGCTCACGAGGCAGGGCCAACTCTAGGGACGAGGAAGTCACACCGGGTCACCTGGAGAAAGCAGACGTGGAGCGGGGGGCACAGCAGGGGGGGCACAGCAGGGCGGGCACGCGGGCCGCGCGGGTGGAGGGCAGGGACGGGAGCAGGCCCGGGTGCCTCGGCGGCTGTCAGGTGGAGCAGGACAGCCAGCAGGATGGCGTAAGGGTGGGAGGCGGGGGACGCCAGGCTCCTGTGAGCGGCACGGGAGGCTGCGGGGAGGAAGAGTGTGCACGCTCTACCGTGAGTGTTAAAAACAAAGTGCATTTTGGACATGGGTTTTCTGTCTTTTCTTCCCAGATGAAGGATAATCTCGCGGGTACGAGAATATTCTCAGATAAACAGAACCTGAAGGAATTTGCCAACACCAGACCTGGTCTCCGAGAAGTGCCGAAGGGAAAGAAGAGTTCAAAAACAAGCAGGAAAGTGGCCAGCTTGGTGGTAGGGACAAGCCTGGAGTTGAATGCTAGCTTCCAGAACGGAAACGGGAAGGCCAGACCACAAGAAGCTAGATTAAGTGCATGAGACTGAGCTTCGGACTAAAACGCCACAGATTTTCCTCTAGGCTTTGTTTTCCTGATTTAAGGATTTGTGTCTTGTCATGCACCTACTATTTGAACAGAATCCTAACCTGTTTCCTGGCTTTAAGTGTTAAGCAAAGCTATCTTGACTTTTCTTTTTATTTTGATTTATTAAAGCTAAAAAATTTAAAATATGTTTAAAAAAAATACCTATTTAGTAGGTATTTTACTGCAGTAAGCTGTTTAGCCTCAGCCAGGTGCTACTTCGTAGTCTATTCATTCCACCCAGAGCTTCACGCCTCAGCTCAGACGTGTGTTCACCGATGGGGATATATCGGCTGAACTTGCTGTGGAAAGTAGTTAGATTAATTAAGATATCTTGTGAATCAATGAAATTGGTGGGGGGATGGAAAGCAACTATAGACAACAGAGATAGTGAGGGAGGCGGGTGGGAAATGGCAGAGGGTGAGAAATGGGGGAATATCCATATACATATACATGTACATATCCGTGTACATATACATATACATGTACATATCCATATACATATACATATACATATACATGTACATATCCATATACATGTACATATCCGTGTACATATACATATACATGTACATATCCATATACATATACATGTACATATCCGTGTACATATACATGTACATATACATGTACACATGAAACAAGGCATGGAAAGCCATTTGCCGATGAGAACATGTATGATTACGCTAGTACGCAGTGTGTCCTGGATGCTCAGTGAATGAATGTAAAATGAACTAATAAAAAATTATTTAAAAATTAACAAAAATAGATTTTGCATAAAAGTGTCTCAATATATGTTCCAATGTCCTTAAATTCCACTCTCACCAGTTAAAGCAAATAGGAAGAGAGAGTTTAGAAAAGAGGTCTGACGTTCGGTTTAGCTTTAAGGAGAATTTCGCACATACCCATGGCTCCCTTCACCTGTCAGGAACATCATCAAATGTTACCTCAGCCTGCTCCGCGAGCCACGGCCAAAGACCAGGCGCTCGGCGGGCTGCGCGCTCTTGGTGTCTGGAGAGTGCGGGCCCTGGTTCATGGATGGCGCCGGGCACGCAGGGCCGCGTGAGGCCAAAGTGGTCCCAGGCTCAGCTCCTAGCCTGACCCAGCAGGGCCCACAGGGCTCCGCACCATGATCCCAGCTGACGGGAGGGTGGGGGCGCGGGGCGAGACCCTCACAGACACTCCTCTCCCCGTCTCTCTTCTGCTATTTCACTTTAAAAAAGACCAAAGATACCTGAGAGCCTTCCACGCTCACACGATATCATGATTCACATGCCACTGCTGCATAAAAACCTCAAAACACCCTCCAACGGTCAGGCTTCAGATCCCTCTAGCCTGACATGCCGCAGCAGCCACCGTGCACACAAAGCAAGGCCAGGCGAGCATTCCGGACTGTGCGGGGCCCTCCGGAACGGAGGAAGGTCAGGGGCGCGCCTGGGATGTGAGCACCCTGCAGCCCTGCCCCCGCAGCAGCTCTATGCCTCCAGGTACACCTGTGTGCACGTGTACACAGCATGATGGCCCAGCACACACCTGCGTGACTCTGCAGCAGCCTTATCGTAAGTTACCCGGTGAGAAGTGACAGTGTGAGTGACCAGGAATAGGGACAGAGACGTACATGAATAAAAGGGTCCTGGAAAGTCGAGGCTCAGCCTTTGGACGAGACTCCGCTGAGCTAGGGTCAGCGCTCGGCCGCTGTCTCCCTGTAGAAGCCCTGGCTCCTGCCTCTCTCACCGACCCCTTGCAGCAAGAACAGCAGGCAGGGCCGGCTCCGCGGCCTGGCGGTTAAGGCAGCGGGTCCCACACGCTGACCACGTGGTCTGAGCCCCAGACCTGGATCTGAGGGCACACTAGGGTTGTCCTTTGAGTGTGTCCCCAAGATCCCGACGGAGGGAGGATGAGGAGGGGCTGTGGCTGACCCTGCCCCACAGGGGCACCTCCGCCCTCCCGCTCTGTCTCTGTCTCTCTCTCTGGCGAGCACACGCCCTCCAGCAGGAACCAACCAGCAGCACTTACATGTCTGTCCTCAGCACCACAAGCCACGAAGCGTCCACAGGGACTGAGAGCAACTCCACAGGGACAGCAGCGGTTGGGGTGTCCCACGAAACGGCGCTCGCACCTGCGAGGAACCAAGGCCAGGAGGAAGTGAGCTGAGACTCCCGCACGGATGGGGGAGGGGAAGCACTGGCTCCTCCAGAGGGGCGGAGTGACGGTGGGGACACTTGCCGGTGAGAACCAGTCCGCGGCAGCTCGCTCTGGAGAGCTTTGGGAATAGCTGAAGTGTGTCCCATCTAACTCCCGCGCAGGGCCAGCTGGAGCACGTGACGGTGCGTGTGAGGCGTGGCTAGCATGCTCTGGACGGTGTGGTGTGCAGACACGCTGCACGGACGCCATCGAGCCACGCGGTCCTGCGCTTGCCGGGAGGCAGGGCATCCTGTGGCCAGGTCGAACACCTGCCCGGAGTGCTGCCTGTGACCCGTGCTGTACTATGCCAGGGACAAAGGCGGCCTTGTGGGGGACTCTCGGCATCTCCGATGTGACCAGAGCCTCCTCAGACAACCGGGAGATGGCGTCTGCAGGGGGACCGGGAGCCTCGCTCGCGGCTCGCCAAGGCCAAGCAGGGTCCCAGCTGGTGACACTATGGTGGGCGAGGCCAAGTCCGCACAATCCAAGTCAGACACAGGGCTGCCATGTCCTAGCGGCCGGAGAGCCCAGCCAAGCGGCCTGCTGTGCCCTCGGCTCCCGCGTCCTTGTGCACAGGCCCGCTTTGTCACGCTGTCACATGCATCGCGTACACCATGTTACTGGCCGTGACAGAACCTCCCCCCTTGGGGCTGCCGTCGGACCACATGACAGATTGGCCTGTCCTTCCCACCAGAGCCAGCATTTTACTTACAGGTGTTCGAAATACATTAACTCCTTATTCATTGGTGTTAGTTTCTAAATGTTCACTTTCTTCTTTTTACTTACTTCTCTTTTACTTTTGTTTTTAAAGGAGAAGAAAAAGGAGACCACTCCTAATTCTTCCATCAGATGACGACCACGAGGAAACTGGGGCGTGTTTCCCGCACCTTCTCTGGCCCCGAGGCTTTCCTTCCGGAAGCAGGCACCCGTGCAGTCTCATGTCCTGTCCCCTCACGACGAGCTGAGCACGGGCTGCGAGCACCCCCGGTCAGGCCTCGGCCACTGCCTCACAGCCTCCGCCTCCCCACTCCCAAGACGACCCCGTTGAGTTCAGGTCTTCAGAGGGGCCTGGTACACTTCCCGGAGGACTGCGGGACGGCGAGCCGGGAGCCCCCAGGGGCCGCCAGCAGACGCGCGGCAGGGGCTCTGCCAGCAGGACGGGACAGAGCCGGGCACCACGCTCTAAAACTGCGAATTAAGTACGGCCACCAGAGATGGACACTGAGAAGGCGCCAGCAAGTGACCGCAGATGCGTCACCGCGGTGCAGCCGGGGCTCTAAGTCAGGGGTCCTCATCTTAGAGGAAATGAAGTGCGTAAGAATACAGGCGTCACTCAGAGCTGTGAATGGCGGAGCTCAGGCGCACACCCAGCTCTTCCAGACTCTCGGAGTCTCCCACAGACCGCGTGGCGCCCCACGGCCCAGGTGGGCACGGGCCCTGAAACAGGAGAGCCACGGGGTCCACATGCGTGAGGGGGAAGGACCCTGCCCTGCATTTCAGTCTCTAGCTGAAATGCAGCCATCTCTGTGTACTGTGGATGTCAGCACCCATGCCCGGGACTCTGTGGTGTCTGGCACCTGCTACCAGTGGGTCTTGGGCACTTTACACTGACTGTCTGCACTCGAGGGCAGAAACCAAGACACAGGACAGGGTGACAGCAGGGAGGGCGACTGTGGACACCAGGGACAGTGGGGTGACAGCAGGGAGGGCGACTGTGACACCAGGGACAGCGGGGTGAGCATGAGGGGTGGGCAGTGGAGATGGGACGGAGAGTCGGGGAGAAAGCAAGCAAAGCCTTTAGGAGACAGCAGTGACAGTTGTGTTGGGGACACTGCATGTGGTGATGTCTTTGACTGGACTGATCTGCCACATACCCACGCTGGGGACCACGCTGTACACTGCAAAGGCGAGCAGTGATTACATGCAAATTCGAATTGTTTAAATCACACTGCAAGTGACAGTGGTGGCAGATACCTTGGAAAATCAAAATCCCCTTCATTATCATGCGATGAGTGTAGTTAATAACCCTACCCTGAGTGCTGTTACATTCACTGATGAAGACGGATATTATAATACAAGAGTTTTTCAATAAATTCAAGGAAAATAGAAATATAGTATAAGTTTATTTTAGTGGGAAATTTTTGAATCTATGCAGTCTTTTGTAATATGTATTTTCCATGAACTTTTTGAAGACTCCTCATATCACAAATTTTAATATCAAAATATTTGATAATTACATTCATTATTGTTAGTTTCCCTTATGGCCCTATTGCTTCGTTTTATACATTCAGAATCCTTCTCCCGACGTGCCAGGGGTGTTCTCTACCAAAGCGTCGATGGCACAAACAGAAACAGCCCCAAGGCCAGCAGACCCCCCCCCCAGCCGGGGAAGTGCACAGTGGCGTTGGGGAAGTCCCCAGAGCACCTGAAGTCTGAAGTATGCGTGACGTGCAACGAGTCACTTTAGTTCACCTAAGGAAGGCCCCTCAGGGTGAGAACTGGAGGGAGGGCAGAAGAAGCTGCCGTGGGCCTTCTGGAGGCACTGAGCCCCAGCTCGGCTGTCCCTGTGCACAGAGAGACAGCACCCGTCTGAGGACCGCTGCCACTCAGGCACGTCCAGGGACTCCCTGCGCATCCGACACTCAGGGCCGCCTGCCCATTGCCCTCCTGAGCCACAAGTGCGGAGAGGACAGACCAGCACCTGCCACTCTGCCATCCCAAATGGTGTGACCTCCCACGCGTGCGTGGGCTTTACTCGTCACCGTTGAACCTGGAAAGAGTTAAAGGGGGACGGCTCTCGTGCCAGCCTCTGCACCACAGGCTGTGAGCAGCTCAGCTCACCTCAGGGTCCGCAGGTCCCACAGCTTAATCCCATCGCCCACGGCCGTGGTCAGAAAGAGGTTGTAGTCCTGGCATCGCTGAGTCACAAATGCTGAGCCCTGTAATTGCAAGGGGAGGGTCAGGATGTGCCTGCAAAGGCTGAACTGCTAAGCATTGCTCTAATGAAATCTGACCCTAAAGCAGGAATTAACACAAACTCTTTCTTACTGATGGCCATTCAGGGTTAGGCTCCAGAAACTCCCCTTTAATTAAGTACCCCTGGCTTTAGGGATCGTTGACATGTTTGCTCTACGTAGTACACAGAATCGCGGAGCTGCAGACGCCAACAGGCCAAGACCTCGGCACGCCATGACTCGCTCAAGGCACACCGCGTAATCTGTCATCAGCACATCGAAGCTGAGGTCGTCTGCTACTGCTCAGACATCAGGCACAGTGAGCAGGTTCCAGTGGGGACGACACAGGTGAGACAGGCTGGCGTCAAGGATGCGGCCCTGCCCCTCTATGGACCTGGCCTGGCTCGGACCTGCACTTCTTGCCCTGTGCTGCCGTCATCAATGAGACGTCGTGACCTCAGATCCTCACCAAATGGGCCTGAACCGAACTCCACACACAGAGCCATCTGGCCCAGAACATTGCAAAATATGTTACGATTCACAATGATTTCCATCGTCCATCTAAGCTGAGAATATCCAGAATACTAAGGCAAATCGAATGAAGGCTATCCACCAGCATTTGTGTTTACAGCACACCTAGAACTTTCTCCTCTTTAACCAGGCCAGGAAGCTGCGTGAGCTCACGAGAGCAGTAACAGCACACCCTGAGCCCCTGCCCCATGCTGGGCAGCAAGCCAGCACTCCGGCTCCATCCTCCTGCCACACTCAGGAGCCATATGTTACCGTGTACCATGAGGTCGAGTGGCCTGGCACTCGGCGTGGTCCACTCGCAGCCACCCAGCTACGAAGCCCAGCACAGCTCTGCCTTCCCTAAATCAAGCCAAGAAAGGAAATGGGTGGAGACCGGCTAATGGTCCGGAGAGATAAGTGCATGGAGTCTCAGTCACGTCCCCCACCCCACGAGCCCACTGAAATGACTGCCCCAGACACACCCTAATAAGCACTCCCTCCCAGCCAGCCCTGAGCTGCCTGAAGTCCCCACAGTCATGCCCCACACGACTGCAGCTATGCATGCGGGTCAGGACCTCACGCTGTCCTTCTGAGCCAGTGGGAATCTGCAAGGGAAGCGAGCCATGTCTCTTCCTCCTTCCACAGTTGCCCCTAAATCTGAGCCCCCAGGGGCCATTCTGTGGCATGCCCTGGGCCAGGGGGCCCCACAGCTATCAGGGTGGCTGGACACAGTCTGTGCTCAAATAAATTCATTTCTCTTGCCTTTTGTCTCTGCTGCTTTTTTTTTTTTAAGATCGGTAGGGCGCAGGATGGCTGAAAACCAGTGATACAACCATAAGATCAGCTCAGCAGACATGCAGCAGTGCTGAAAGATCTTCTACTAAACACAAGCACTGCGTGAGGCACTCGGTTTACAAAGAACAAGACTTGGATCAAACCTGAGGGACATACGGGGAGACGAGAACCACAGTTACACCTCCCAGCGGCTGCTGGCTTGGAGACTGAGGAGCAAAAACTGAATGGGCAGAAATGACGCTAGGCAAAGCTTTTAAGAGAAAACATTATTTAAAGCTAGAGACCAGCAGCTGGCGTAATGGCCGTGTCGCTGGACTCCCATGTAGTTGACTGCAGTTCGAGTCCCAGACCTAGTGGCTTAAACTCACGCCGGGCGCGTGTGCGTGCGTGCCCAGGATCCCAAGAGGAGAATGGAGGAGAAGGGATTGCGGCGTGGCCATCCCCCCGGGGTGGGGGGGGGGAATTCTAGCTTTCTGTCTCTCTCTTTCTGGTGAGCACACGCATTCTATAGCAAGAAAAAAAATTTTTAAACTGCTTTTTCTTTAATCTAATAGAAGGCAAGGAAGAAACAGAAAATTCTTAAAAAGTAGAAAACAGAAACGTTTTTTAAATGTAAGACAATGGAAAATAAAAAGGCATAAGTAATCAAAAAAATTACAAACAGACTAAGGTCAACAAATACAAAAAGGAAAACATACTCTTATTTCAAGTAAAACATTTAAAGAAACATTTTTTTAAAATGTGCTCAGGAGAGGGGTTAGCAGGTGGTGCAGTAGTTAAGGCACTGAACTTCCACACGGTCAATGCAGTTCAAGTCCTGGACCCGGTGGCTTGAACCTCACGCCGGGCGCGTGTGCGTGTGTGCCCAAGATCCCGAGAGGAGAATGGAGGAGAAGGGAAAGCGGCGTGGCCCCCCCCCCCCCGGGGGGTGATTTCTCGCTTTCTGTCTCTGTCTCTCTCTGTCTGGGGAGCTCACACGCCCTGTAGCGAAAACCTCTCCAAACAAAGGAAAGAAAAGAAATGTACTGTCGATATGCTGCTGAGGGTACCCAGGGAGGGACGGCATCTGCACAGGCCCCATGTCCAGGGAGGCTGGCCCAGCGAGAAGGGAGACCCAGCCAGGCCAGTCAGCCTCCTGCGTTCCGAGTCCCCGGACGGCCTGCAGAGCTATCCAGCCAACACCTAGACTGGCCTCCGAGACACGGACGTCTGGACCTGGGGCATCCCCGACTGCACCTGGATAGATGTCCCCCAGCCCCCAGTCTCCAGGAGGGGCAGGACCACAGGCGCCGGGTCTGGGCCCCCACTCACAGACTGTCGGTCAGCAGACACACCTGGCCGCCTACGTGGATATTTAACGCAGGTGTGGAAAAGGCACTAAATACGGCCCAGAGGCAGTTGGACCGCCTGGAGGACTTCGAGCAGTGAGATGGCGTCCTGAACCGCACACAGACTTCAGAGGGCGCCACAGGTGAGTCCTCAGTTCACAGAGCCTTTCCAGACACATGGAAGACCGGACCGTCTTTGGACTGGATGGCTGTGACCACAGACTCGGAAGGGTGGCCCCTCTGACACCAGCTTCAGCACAGCCCCAGATGCGTGCCGCGGCCCGCACAGGACCAGTCCCCACCGACACCCAAGCACTGTGCAGCCGCTTCCCCTCCCCCAGCGCCGGCGGGGCTGCAGCCACTCCATTACTGCCGAGACCCAGCCCTCCACCGGGCATGCCCCAATGCCCAGCCCGCCACCGGGCATGCCCCAATGCCCAGCCCGCCACCGGGCATGCCCCAATGCCCAGCCCGCCACCGGGCATGCCCCAATGCCCAGCCCGCCACCGGGCATGCCCCAATGCCCAGCCCGCCACCGGGCATGCCCCAATGCCCAGCCCGCCACCGGGCATGCCCCAATGCCCAGCCCGCCACCGGGCATGCCCCAATGCCCAGCCCGCCACCGGGCATGCCCCAATGCCCAGCCCGCCACCGGGCATGCCCCAATACCCAGCCCTCCACCGGGCATGCCCCAATACCCAGCCCTGCACCGAGCATCTCCAATACCCAGCCCTCCACCGGGCATCTCCAATACCCAGCCCTCCACCAGGCTTCACGCGAGAACTTGACCAGTGAAGTCTGAAATGGGCCCATAAACAACCGAAGCCACAGAACGAGCCGCGCTGTGAGGGGACGCGTCTGTAAAGGGCGACCCCTGTGGTGGAGTACGGTAGTGACTGGTGGACGTCGGCACTGCAGACAGCGCAGACCGACCTGAAACCGCACCCAGCGCCCGCCCTCCCAGCGCTCCGGGCACACCGCCTCCCACTCACACGTCACGAGACACTCACGTTATTTTGGCAAATCTGGTGGACAGGCCGTGAGTGGGCTTCCGTTATCAGCGCCGCGGTGCGGCCGGCATTGAGGTCGAACACCTCCAGCGCCCTGTTCCGGCAGCCCGTGAGCACCACGTCTGTGGCCGTCCGGTTAAAGAGTTTCTGTCCACGGCCTTGCCCCGGGGTGGACGGTCCCGTTTCTTTTACTCATAGATGCCGGAGGATCAGAAGACTCACAGAGGGGTGACTCCCCCTTTGCAGGGAAGTCCTGACCCAGCCCGGCTCCGCGTCTGGGCCCCAGGCCTCCAGCCAAAGCGGCCAGCGGCAGGGGGTGGGACGGCTGCCGGGAGGTGGCAGAGCCCTGGCGCATGCTCTGGGCAGGAGGCCCACCTGTGTCTATTCTGTGTCTTGTCCATGAGGGCGTGCAGGCACACACAGAGAGACATGCCCCATGGGGTCTGGTCATGCCTGACCCCCTTCCCTGGCCCTCCAGCCTGCCAGGGCCTCAGCACATAGGTGTGCACCTGGCATGTTTCAGGCCCACCCAGGGTCTGAACCACAGCCTGCCGTGCGGCTCCCAGCACTGCAGTTCTGTCCACAGCTGACCCTGCCACCAGGCCGGGCCGAGTCCTGACCCGGCGCTGGAGACTTCCATGAGACGCCCTGATCAGGGTACCGAGCAGCTGAGGAGCTGGTGCTGAGCTCAGAGTGCAAACGGCCCGAAGACCAGAAGCTACAAGCTGAGGAGTGGACAGGTCCCCCAGAGCCGGCTCAGGAGCGTGGTCACCCACAGCGTGGCCTACCACCAGGCAGTCCTCCCAGACGCCCGTTCAGTACGCGTGCATGTGCTCTGCACTGGGGTGTGCCGGCAGCAAGGCCACCCAGCGCCGGGATGTACCCTGCTAAAATTAATTTCTAAAGAGCAGTATCTTTGCTTCTAAATTATTAGGAAAAGCAATGATATTCGAATAAAAACTCAGACATTAGAGTTTTGGGCGTGATCTCATATCGAGCTCCATTGGAGATGGGAAATACTCGTTAACCTAGGGGTGGCTCCAGTGTGCACACGGCTCTTGAAGAAACCATCAGAACCACTGCTCCTCAGTAAAGCACAGACCAGAGATGGCCCCATTCAGCCCTGGGCCCCGGCCCTACTGCTCTCAGCGTGGCACCCAACCAGTCACTGTCACCACTGTGATCAGGGCATGTCAGTGACACTGGGGACCCTGCGCTCCGTGAGGAGGACGCTGCTCTGTCCCCACACCCAGTCTAATGCTCAGGACATCCCAGACGACTGGCGTAATGCCCCAGACGCCCCAGATGCCCAGTTTAATGCCCGGGACACTCCCCAACGCCCGGCGTAATGCCCAAGACACCCCTGACGCCCGGCGTAATGCCCGGGACGCCCCGACGCCTGGCGTAATGCCCGGGACCCCCGATGCCCAGTGTAATGCCCGGGACGCCCAGATGCCCATAAGGGCCTCGGCGAGCACCCCCACAGCAGCAGGGGCCAGGAGAAAGGATACGGGAGTAGCAGTCGTTCATGGCCGACAGCCCCGTGATGTCCGAGGCCCCGGTTGTGGTGGTCCTGTACACAGGAGTGACCTTGCCCTTCTGCTTATACCTGGGAGAAAAATAACCACGTCCAATTTTCGCTTCCTGCCACTGCCACTAAACGTCCCACCTCCAAAACGTGCCCCTCGGTGAGGTGGGGCTGGGAGGGGGCTGCACCCGGTGCCTCGCCTTTCCTCCAGGAAGCACAGTTTCCCCTTAAGAAACCGTAGCTTTCCCTTTAGAGAAGCTTCATGAAAATAAAGCCATTTTACAAGGCCAAAGATAATTCATTCCTGTCTGTGAGAAAGAGACTGGTCTCCTAGTTCTGAAATGATTCCGGGGACATCAGCTGAGGACAAAGCACCTGCATTTCCCTGTAAACAAGGTCCTGCATCCCCGGAGGGTGGCGTAAGGAGCGCTGCGCTTTAACACGTGTGTGTTCCGGTGGGCAGGGCGTATGTGTGTGCATGTCCAACACCCCGAAAGGAGAATGGAGAAGGGGTCGAGGCATGGCCATCCCCCTGAGAGCTCTCTCCCTCCCCCTAGCAAGCACACATGCTCTATAGTAAATTTAAAAAAAAAAAAAAAAGTTTTTAAAGGTATGTCTTAACCTCTAGCAATACTTCATAAAGGAAGGAGCGGGTGGCAGTTCGAGGAAGTGACTGCCCAGAGAGGGCATGGCCCAGCGAGAAGGCAACAAAGACATCAGAGAAGTGCCAGTAGAGGCCAGACGGGCACGGGTGCCACCCTGCAGGGCGAGGACTGCATGCACAGGGACAGGGCATGGGAAGGAGCCTGGGTCTGAGGGTTTGGGGACAGGGACAATGGAGCAGCCTCCCTCAGGCGGGAACAGGCGGGGATAGGCTCAGGCCCCCAGGGGCACCAAAGGAGGGCAGCCAAACACAGACGCGGGCGATGGACAAGCCCGGCCTAGGAAGGACAGTGCCCACAGACGCGGCCGCCATACATTCATGGTGAGTCACTGCCCACGACAGCACGACTGCAGGGTGCGGCTAGCAGGCAGGAAGCTGCCGCTCCACGTGGCCAGAAGCACACACCGTGGGCAGGAGGAGGCAGACAGGAGAGGGGAGAGGGCAGGGGCCCAGGGGAGGAGCAGAGCCACGCCACCTTCCCCAGTGCGGACACAACACGTTTCAGGTCGCTGGCCCTGTCCTCCCGCCAGCTGGGCTGTGCTCTGCGTATCTGCTCTGCCCCATCCACCTGACTGGGCATTCCACCGAGCTGCCTCGCTGGCCTCCCCCTGCCCAGACTGCGGGGCACAGCAGAGCCAGGGTCACTCACCTCTTTATGTCATCTCTGCGAGGGGCGACATGGTACCTGAGCAGCTGCAGTTCGGGCCCGGAGGACAGCAAGAGGAAGGAGTCCAGGTAGAAGAACTGTGCAGACTGCACGGGCCCAGGGGCAGGGGCAGCCCGGCCCTGGAGAGCACCGGCAGTTACTGCCACGTGAGCGAGTGGGGGTCACCGCAGCATGGAGCACAGGCCCGCCTTGACTCCCAGCATGTGTCCACAGGGAGCCCAGGCCCTCCTCCTCGCCTCCTCCCACGTGTCCACAGGGAGCCCGGGCCCTCCTCCTCGCCTCCCCCCACATGTCCACAGGGAGCCCGGGCCCTCCTCCTCGCCTCCCAGCGTGTGTCCACAGGGAGCCCGGGCCCTCCTTGACTCCCACCGTGTGTCCCACTGGGAAGGCTCTTCCAGAGAACCAGCACTATCTGTCTCTGCTTACCAACCACTTCTGAAACGTGTTACATGGCTAAGCTGTTACTGTGACAAACGCTTTGAATTCTGGCCATGTTTTTATAAAAAGAACATGAAGGGACCCGCAGATGGCGTAATGGTTATGTCTCTGGACTCCCATGTAGTCGACTGCGGTTCGCGTCCTGGACCCAGTGGCTTGAAACTCATGTTGGCCGCGTGTGCATGCGTGCCCAGGATCCCGAGAGGAGGATGGAGAGAAGGGATGTGGAGTGGCCATCCCCCCTGGGGGGTGATCTCTCGCTCTCTGTCTCTCTCTCTCCAGTCAGCACGCCTGTCGTATAGCAAAAATCTCTCCAAAAAAAGAAAAAATTATTCAAGCGTTTCAAATTAACCACTTCACATGTGCAGACTGTGACAAACGTAAGGACATGCATAATTGTGTGTGTATGCATGTATGCATGTGGCAGGTACATGTGTGAATATGTGTGTGCATGCTGTGTGTGCATGTACACATGTGAACATGTGCACGCACACACAATGAAGGAAGTAACCAAGAACTTGAACCGCATAGCAGTGAGCTCCTGGCTCTGCAACTCGCCCAAGGCGCCTG